GAAAAGAAAGAATATATGTATATGTATTCTAAAAGAATATATGTATAAAGAAGAATATATGTATATGAATATGTGTATTTGTATATGCAGGATAGCTAACAAATACTACTGATTTCTTTCACTTTACTGAGAGGAACAGTTGGTGATTAGTTTATTTGGTCAATCTTACATGTCTCTATTTTCCTGAGAAACCTCCTTGAAGATATTAATATGTAATAAAACAACCATTGTGAATTTCCTATCACTTTGTCTGTGATTCAATATTGCTTGTATTGTTCTTATACTGTTTTATGAATGAATGTCTGTTAATATGTTTTCATTCTTTTATTTTTAAGGTAAGTTTAAAAAAAACAGGGCTAGGTAAGATAAAGAAAATAGAATGAAGAGGACAGTGTTAATACAAGAGAAGATAGGTGTGAGAGTACAGAATTTGAGAAACTAAAAACCTGAGAGAAGGAATTTAAGAAGTGATAGAAACCAGTAAGAAATAATGGTATTGCTACATGTGCTTCTGTTGAAAAAACTACATAGGAAGATGAGAGGAGAGAGAGAACATAGACATCAACATGATTGAAGCAAAGCAAAGTGAAAAAGAAACAACAGAAAGTATCTGATGGGAGCTTAGTTCAAATGCTCCAACAAGAAAATGTACATGTGATTCACATGTGAGTACTTTGCCAAAAAGCCTGTGTGTTCACACATTTCCTTCTTTCCTTGACTGCTGACTGATTATATACAGCCACACCAGCATCACCTCTTTCCTTTCAACTGCAAAACCTAGACCCATGTTCAGGAATTCACTGTACTGGCTTATAGGCAGAATCTGATGCTAAACTCACAACATTTTGAATCGTTCTGCTGGGCTGTCTTTGCTCTTGATGCACAACATAAATCTGGCAAATAGCTCCTAACAGTAGCCATGCCATGTCCTCAACATTAGACTGCCTTCAGATTTCTTCTGTAAGATTGATTAGTCTACCACACTTAATTTCAGTCTCAGGCAAAGTCTCTGGACCCAAACAAAATGTAGACAAACTTTCTGCTAAGGTATAGCACATGCTATAGAGTGTAACAGTAGTGTAGTCCTTCCCAAGATAACCCTCCTGACCCTGGTGTTCACTGGCAGCATTTCTATCAGCATTCTGATCTTCTCAGTTCTGACCAGAACCTCCCATCAAGTACAGCTTCAGGCATTCAAGAGTCCCTTTTTCAGCCAGCATCTCTGAACCTTTTCTAACTCTTCCTACAAGCCAGTTGCAAACGCTCCTGAACCACATGGTCAGGTACAGTCCCAGCAGTGACCTATTTCTCTGGTACCGAATTCTGTCTTTATTACTTTTCTTGTTGCTGAGACAAAATAGCCAACACCCACAGTTAAAGGAGGAAAGTTTTATTTTGGTTCACAGTTTGTAGAGATTTCAGTCCATAATCAGCTGGATCCAAGGCAGGGAGGCATGGCAGTTGGGTACTGCAGAGGTGAAATAGTCCATGGTAAGCAAGCAGATTAGAGCACATTAACTCTCTTTCTGTCCCTGTTGGTTTATGCAGGTTACCTTCCTTAAGGCAGGTACCTGGATTAAGCACACACACCTTAATCCTAGCCAGTAGTATACCAAACCAATCAGTGAGGGAGTAGAAGATATTGGAAGTGAATACCCACGGATTTTTATCCTCAGTTCCTTTTTATTTAGGACTAGTGATCACACCCATCTCTCATGTGGGCACCTGGAAGTTGTGGCCATCTGATTGGCTCTCTGGCCATCTTTGATCCTAACCTGATCATTCTCTATCTACATTCTTTCTGGCTCTTTGAGCCCTTCCCGCTTCCTGCTCTTTTATGATGTGTGTGTGTGTGTATGTGTGTGAGTGAGGCCTCATAGAAGGTCAATTAAGAGTTACAAATGAGTAAAAGGAACATGTGCATATCTAGTGCAGATATAGTGATGCTAGAAGGAGACTGTACATATCAGTATATAGATATAGGTATATGTGTCTTTTATATATTAAGTAAGAGTCCTTAGCTTAGGTGGCTGCCCCTTATCTGCTTTGCATTTTGTCAGAGGTGGGTGAGGGGGCTGGTTTCTCTGGTCTTTCGTGTTTCTGGCTTCCTCTTTGCTTTGTTAACTCTTTCTGATAAATTCTTTTGGTAATTGTGTTACCTGGCACCTTTGTAGGTCTAGTTTCTCTCTCCTTTGTCTAATTGCTTTAACTGTAGAGTCTATCTGTAGAGGCAGAAGCTGCTTTTAGTAAGATCCCTCGTTAATTTTTAATAAAACCTGTATTTTGTCTGCCTAGAAGCTCCCTTTCTTTACAGTTTTATATTTGTTTAGAGTTTACATACATAAAATCAGGAAATTGCTTTTTCTTGTTCTCTATTCTATGTGATCTGTATATTTTGGAGCCTGGTCATGGTTCCCACAGTTCTTTTTCCTGGTTCCTTCAGTGAAAAAAGATGGTAGGGCTTTTGTTATAGTTTTACCTTGCTGTACCATACTGCTAAGCAGTGCCATTCCACGGTTGTTAGGAAGTGGCCAAAAATTGAGAAAGTTGATTCTCTTCTACTTACCTGTGATAGTTATTTTTAAAAAACTCTAGAATCCATTAAGCATAATATATGCATCTTTTGTCTGGAAGTTATTGTGGTTTTCAATGGGTGATTTGGTGTGAGACACACTGAAACCTAGAAGGGTATTTCTGTAGTTTGATCTATAAAATGGAGATACTAATATTTTTTTGAAAATAAGCAGTCAGCCTCAAACTATTGATGTTGGAAAGAATGTACTCAGACAGCAAACAAGAGGACTTGACAAGGCAAAGTTTAAAATTTACTTTTGCAGAAGGGCATGAGTGCACTCAGACAGGAGGCAACAGGTGCACCAAACATTGGGGAAGCGGGGTTTTAAGCCAAATGCATGGGAAACAGCTGAACTTTTTTCCACTGGCTAGCTTCACCCATAGGGATAGGTATACATATCCCAGTTGGCTAGTTTAAGCAGTGAGAAGGGTGGGCCTGAGGAGTTGCTGATAGGGTTGTTAAGAGAGGGAAGAGTGAGAGGTGAGATGGTGTGGGAATAGAAGTTCCTTGACTGTCTTGGTCTGTAGCTATGTTCTCAGAATTTAAACTGAGCAGGCATTTCCAGTGTGTTTCGGAGGGGCTGCTAAGGATGGGCAAGAGTCTAAGATGGAGGCACTTTTGTTTATATTCTTTGTAGAAAAGACAAGGCGACATTTTCTCTCACATCTAATTTGCACAAAGTAGTATAAGGAATAAAAATATATTTGAACATCTTGTTGGATTTGGGCATAGACAAGTCACTAAACATGGTGCCTGTTGTTATCAATCTGTCTCTACAATCATATGTTAAACCCTTGTCATCTCTTGTTTGTTTTGGAATAGGAGTCTCATAACTGATATTGTTGTCACTAGGGTCATTTTACTTAAGCTTTCTTTTGTACTGTTAGTATTTTCTTTTTAAATTATAAATATTGTTATATTTCTGTATCAGCTTTTACTGATTCTGCATTGCTTATAGATAAAACTCAAGTTCTTTATCTACAGTTGGTAGTTTTTGAAGCAATAATAAAAGAACCGTTTTGGTCAGGCCTTTAATAAAAGTCTTGTGATTTTATGCTTGAGTAAACAAAGCAAAGACTGAGTTCATAAATATATGCTGTTAGCAGGAGGAATGACAAGTTAAATTCCCATAACTAAAGAATTCATGGTCGGGGCTGGGGATTTAGCTCAGCGGCAAAAGCACTTGCCTGGCAAGCGCAAGGTCGTGAGTTCGGTTCCCGGTACCGGAGAAAAAAAAAAAAAAAAAAAAAAAAAGAATTCATGGTGGTTTTATAATTTGTCTATTTTATAAAACTGTGATATCTAGTATGATAGTCATTAGTCAGTGTGGCTATTACAAGGTAAATTAACTGAAAATAAATCAGATTTAATATACAGTTTCTCAGTTGTAGTAGCCACACTTGAAGTACTCAATAGCTATCATATTGGATGGCACAGAAAACATTTCTGTTATTGCAGAAAGTTTTATTATGTAGGATTTGTTTACAGGAGAGGTTGACACACTTTTTAAAGGTAAAAAGTCAGTATTAAATTTTACACTTGGAAGGCATTATCCCTGTTACAGCTATTCATTGCTGTTATTATAGGGTAAACTAAGCATACACAATATGTAAATGAGTAGATGTATCTATATGAAAGTTGTTTTTGAAATAAGGGCAGCTGTCTTATAGGTTGTAGTTTGTTGATCTTTGGTCTAGAACATTAGGTTAAATTTTTTGAGAAATAATATTTGTACATCTTTATGGGGTACATAATGGGAATTCAGTACATGTGTACAATGTGTAATAATCAAATCTGAATAATAAGCATTTCTGTTTCTTCACAATTAATCAGGTTTATATGTTGGATATAATCATTTTGAAATATAAATTGTTTTAACTTACAGTTACCCTGTTATACTATATGAAAACCAGAAATAATTCACCCACTTTGAGGGAATGGGGTAATTCAAAATCATTTCACAGGAAGAATAATAACTAGAGATTTTAGAATATTTAGGAGATAACTTTCAAATATTTGTCAGTTAAGTGAAAAACAAACTAAGGCTTCTACTATATAATTATGGAAGGAAGATAATGACTTCCATGAAAATTACAGGGAAGCCTATTTTATTACAACATAAAGGCAGATAGGATTATTAGAATAGTGAATGACTGGCTATTTGCTAATGAGCTTGAATGATTTATATATCAAATAAGGTTTGAATTTAATGACCTGTATGATTTTTAAATTAAAATTTTATGTCTTTTGTTTCACAGCTATCTCCATTAAATCCTTTGTGCATTTATAGTAATGACTTCTTTTCTCTTTTTAAAGAACTTTAGATGAGGAGAAGCTCATAGTTCTCTTAGCTCTCTTAGGGCAGTTTAATTATTTTGAATGTGTATGGACTTGGCTTTCATGATTTGTAAATATTTTTAAATAGGCAGAAAACCAAAAGCTTTTAGATGAAAAGAAACAAATTGAGAAGATTACTGAAGAATTAAGAGGAAAAGAACAAGAACTAACTGGTCTTTTACAAACCAGAGAGGTTTGTTTAAGAATTTTTTGCTTCACATATATGTTAATAGAATATAGATTTACAAGATAAATATGGTATAGCTAACTGCTTTGTGAAAGATTTCACCAGTTTCTTCTTAAAAGAACGTGTTCTCATTTAAAATGCTAATGATCGATTTGAAATATGTGCTCCTAAAAAACTTTCATATTATACTGTGGGAGAGAAAGATCAACATTTAAGATACTGATCTTATGCATAATTCTTTGGCTTATAAAATTTACAGTTTTGATGTTTTGAGTATTTCCAACATGTACATTTGAAATTTAGTCCTTATTAAGTGTAGGTTTTAACTTTATAATACTTCTTTATAGTGCTCATAGTATAACTTTGGAATTTATTTTAAAGTATATTTCTAGTCCATAACGAATTACAACTGTCTTTTTATAATAGTAAGAACATTAGTTTTTTTTTTAATACTACCTTGTTTCATTAATTAACATATTTCTTCTTAATGATAATGATGTTTTCATTGAAATTACTTACCTGGTAGAGTGAAATTGGTAAAAAGTATTTTGTAATATATAATACAGTTTTTCTGGTTGAATTTCAGAATATCAAATAGAATTTACTAATTGTATTTTTCATGGTTCATTGTTTTTAAATTAAAATATTACCAGGTTAAATCTACTTAAATTTAAAATATTTGACATATTTTGCCAAATTTTTGCCAAGTACATTACTTTAATTCCTTAGATCAATCTTATCTTTCGAATTAAAAAGATTGGAAAAATATCTGCTGTATTTATATGTTGTTTTTCCAGAGAGAAATACATCGTTTTGAAATACAGTTGACTGCCATTACCACAAGTGAACAGCATTACTCAAAACAGGTTCATGATATGAAAACCGAGCTTGAAAAAGAGAAGTATGTTTTTCATATATCTAGTACTAGTTTATGAGTCCAAGTACTAAGCTTTCTGGTAATAAATAATAAATTACTAAATTACATTCATTATTTACACAAATGAATTTGAAATTGCAATTTACTCCTAATTGGAAACCAGAAAAATTTACTAGTTTCATTGCTAAAGGAAATATATCATTGACATGAGAGTACATGTAACAAAGGTTAAATCACTTTGAAGATAACTGTGTAGTCATTTCTTGATATTCATGGGGGATAGGGTCTCGGACCCCTGACAGTATACCAAAATCTGTGCTGTTCAAGTTCTTTATATATGGGATTGTATTTGCATATAATTTGTGCATATACTCTGATATGCTTTAGATTGTCTCTTGGTTAGAATAACTAATACCGTGAAAGTACTATGTAAATAGTTGTTTACTGTTCAGGAAATAATGACAAAAATCTGTATGTTGGTACAGATGCAATTTTTTTTTTACTGTTTCCAGTCTGTAGTTGGTGACTCCATGGATATAGAACCTATGGATACAGAGGGCTAACTATTATTTTATGGAAGTATGTAGTTTCCCATAAAAATAATTATTTGCAGTTCTAAATTTTTTGGGGGAGGGGTACTGGGAATCGAACTCAGGACCTCAAGCTTTGCCAGGCAGGCACTGCTCCACTGAGCTAAATCCCTGGGCCCCGAAGTATTTTTTGGATAAATTATTTCAAAGATTGTATTAATAAAATGCAAAAATACAAATTTATTTATTGTGTTGTCCAAATAAGTATTTAATTGAATGATTTAGTTACTTAGTAAGTTTAGTTTGGAAATAAAGTATGGGAAATAATTATGACATTATTATTTAGAAGTAAATTCAAGTAGCCAGTTTGGTGGTGAGTATCACTTTTTTCTCTTTTCGTTGCCTCTCAGCTCTAGATAAAAATGAAAAGTAAACAGTTTATTGAATAGTTTTTCTGTTCCTTTTTAGCTGCCATTCCCTCTTTCTAGTACTGTGTACTTTATAGTACTGTGCTTTTTTTAGGATCTCTGAGTAAAATGCATCTTTATTAATCAAAATCTTTTAATGAATGGAGAGGTTTATCATTCATACTGTGGTATAAATTTGTTATTCCTGTTATATTTGCTTTTTCAATCCGTCATTGCTTAGTGAAGAACTTTATTTCTTCTTTGGTTAATTAGCAGTATTATTAAGTAGCAAGAGATAATAAGTGTTCCTGGAATCATTCAGTGAAGGCACACACTACCTTGCCTTAGCTTCGTTAAAATTTATCCCATCTGTAACTGATAACAACAATAACTTCACTTACAATGTAGAACATTTAAAACCTTATAGGGGTGATTTAGTGTTGTGCAAAATTAGAGCTAGTTTTATTTATTTTCATGAAAATATTTGAATTAATATTTGTACCTCATTCCTAATCTGATCAAATTATTAGAACTTTGAAACAATTTTTGAGACAGACTACTGGAGACAAAAAGTTACGTGAAGAAAAACACACCCTTCAGAATCTGTACAAAAGTGTTGGGGAATGAGAGTGTGGGGCAGTATGAAAGGAGATACATTTTCTGATACTTTGACAATACTGAAGTTTTCAAACATGCACAGTGTAGAGGGAATAATGTAATAAGCCAGGATGAATCTATCATACTGCTACAGAAATTATTAGTTTATGGCCAATCTTGTTTTATTTATAATCCTACCCTTTCTCCTAAGGTTATTCTGAATTAAATTTCATATGAAATCATTGTATAATTTTATGTATAAATACTTTGACTTGAAAAAATAGGCTTAAGAATACTGAATTAACTATAAGTTGCAACAAGCTGTCACTAGAGAACAAAGAACTGGCACGAGAAAAAGATGTTATGGCCTTGGAACTCAAGAAGCAGCAAGATGACATTAATGTAAGTTGAAAAAGTGACAGTGACATTTTTCTTACCTGTAAGATCTGGGGGCTTTAAATGAATTGGTATTGTCGAAAGGTTTTATCAGCTTTAAAAATCTCAATATTTTAGAGCTGATACTTTTAGAAGAAAAATGTGCATATTAATTTTAGGTGTGCTAGTGGTTAATAGAATATTGAGGCTACTTGGATAAGTTTAACTTTAAACATTAATGTTTCTATAAAGTATTTAGTCAATAAGTATATTGAGTCATAGACTCTGGAGGATACAGGAATGAATAAAATGTCCTTTCTCTTCAAGATCTTTCACTTAAAGAACAACAAATATTGAGATAACTTAAAATAGTATGTACATATGTGTTGTACATAAGGCAAAGTGTTGTATAGTTCACAGGATCACTTCTGCTTTGGTAGAAGAGAAGGCTTCAGAGAGAATATAGCATGGATTTTAGCCTTAAAAGATGAATTATGAGGTCTAAGGTTACAGTGATGGAAAGCATTCCTTGAACCCAGAAGAGTATGAATTTAGGATACAAGGCTCAAAGAATTACTTGGAAATAAAACATATTTTGTTAGCTGGTATATAGAGATTGTTAAGAGAATAATTAATGTAAGGCTGGAAAAGTAGTTTGGAACTATGTAAATTAAATAGCCTATTCTGTTTCTTTACATATAAATAAATATTGTGGTGGCAAATAAAAGTTTTAAATATTAATTTCAATTTTACTTTCATTTAAGCAAAATAATGAAAACAGTATTGTCTCTTTAGAACAGCAAAAAGCAAGAAGAAAAGATGTTGAAACAAATAGAAAATCTGGAAGAAACAGAAATACAATTAAGGTAAGACTAATCAGTTGGTCTTTTCTGTCTGGCAAAAGACTTTAATATTCTTTTAACTTTTTATGGTTTAGATTTAACTTATGTTGAATATTATATATATAAAGTAAAAAAATTAAGTTTAAATTGCTTTTTTGAAATCCTGCTTACTAATAAAATATGTCTTTTTATACTGAATGTTGAAATATTGAAGTTAGGTAAAAATTAATTTTTAAATCATCATAAAATTTCTAGTTAATGTTTATTTAATTTAGAAAGTATACTAGTCATATTGCCGAAAATTTCAAAGTAGTTTCAAAAGTTATTTCTAATAAATCACATCAAATATTATTTAAACTCACTTCCTATTTTAATGTAGCTTTCCTTGTAATTTTATATGTGATTTTTCCATGTAATATTGTTTTATTCTTTATTCATATTTGTAGGTATTTTCACAATCGTCTATTTTAATACCTGTATACTTAAGTCAGCCAAGTAGAAGTAACATTGACTGAGTTTTTGCATATTTACATTTTTCATCTTTTTACTATTGTAAAAAATTCTGAAACCAGCATCTTGGCAACATATATACAGCCTTATTTTGCATTTGGTGTATAATACATCCAAGAGGTAGAATTTATTAGGATTGAACTAATGATTTCCATGACTTGATAATCAAATATTTTCCAATAGGTTTTATCAGGTATAAATGATGCAATGTGGGCAGTATTGCATGAAAGTGTTAGTTCCAAATGTTTTTGTTAATCAACAATGTAAAAGAAAAAACTCATTGTTCTTATGATTTATAATTTATATTTTTTGGGTAAGCTTTTAAAATTTTCAATTTTGCTTACTAGAATTTCTTCTTTTAAAATTGTCTGTTTCTGTTCATTGATCTTTTGAGACCTTTTTTGTTTTACTGACTTGTTTAAGCATTTAAAATTTTGGTCCTTTATCTGTTTTATTTATAGCACATATTTTCTCTAACCTATTGCTTTTATTTAACTTTGGGGAGCTCTTTATCATATGAAAGGTTCTTTTTGCCTTTAAAATTTTTTTTTTAACCAGGAATCGAGCCCAGGACTTTGCGTTTGCCAGGCAGGTGCCATGCTGCTGAGCTTCCCTGACCCTAAAATTTTTTTTTTAATAATTGCTTTTATACTTAGCTATTCCTTGGCTGCCTGGAATTATATATTAATCTTTTTTTTTCAGTTCTTTAAAAAAATTTGTATGTTGATAATAGTTTATCTTTCTCTTTTAAATGATAAAGATGTTTTAAGTGATCACTTCTGAACACAGCTATGAATTTATGACATGCCTTTGATAGGCCATTTCCTTGTTCAGTATTTTCTGAATAAGTTTTTGTATTTTAAGTTTTCTTCTAATCCATTGGTAATTTAAATTATTTCCATGTTTTGGGGGGCTCTAATTTGTGCTTATATTGAAGTTTTGATTCTTACATTTGGTTAGTGGTCTATAAAACTTTCTCTTATTTTTAACTATTTGAACTCTTTGTAGACCTAATACTTGTTCATAGAATTAATGATTATTTTATATGAGGTATTGTGAATAAAGTGTTGAGTGTAGTGCCTGACACTGCACATAGTGCTTTGAAATTGTTGTTACTGTTTTACAGATTTAGAAAATTATCTTTTATTTTATCTATAAATGATTTTTTTTTGTGCTTTTTGCTCAGTTTTCTTTTAGAAGTAGCAGTTATTGACTCTGGGAGGCTGAGGGGGGAGAATTACATTTGATTACAACCCGGGCAACCTAGTCTCTCAAGAGTAGGGTTGGAGATACAGCTTAGTGCAAAGCCCCTGAGTTCATTCTCAGTACTGCCAAAAATTACTGTACTTTTTAAATTGCATATTTGTTAAGGCACTGTAAAGTGTGAAGACACATTTTAAAGAGAAAGGCTGCTTTTTAAAGAGTACAGTATTCAGATCATTCGGATATATCTTTTTTGCATATGTACCTTTTATATGGACTTAATGGAACTCTACATACTTATGAATATTAAGAATATACTGGGGCTGGGGATTTAGCTCAGCGGCACAGCGCCTGCCTGGCAAGTGCAATGTTGTGAGTTCGAGTCCCGGTACTGGAAAAAAACCAAAACCAAAAAAAAAAAAAAAAAAAAAGAATATACTGGTTGTACATTTAATCTCAAAGAGTAAATATCCTGAATTCAGTTTTCACAGGGCCAGTTACTCTCTACAGTCAGAGTGCATCCAATCACCAACATAGTAGTGGTAACAAGGGAGACTGCAATTAGAAGGAAAGCTTCAAGTATATAGATGAGAAAGAGAAAAGACAGACTTTTAATTAAAATATTTTTGAAATGATATTACTTGCATATGGTATAGAATTCAGAGAGACAAAGGAACACATGGTGAAAGAAAAGTATCTTTTTTACCCATTGTCCTTTACTATCCAGTATCTCTTCCCAGATTCTGTTTCTTGTGTATCTTTTCCACAGATAACTTTGCTTAAGACAATATATGTGTGTGTAAATTTTATCTTAGCCATGTAGTTCTTAATTAAAATCACTTGCACTTATATTCTTCATTTGTGTGTGTAAAATTGTGAATGTGTTTTAGTATAATAACTGATTTATGACTAAGAAAACATACAGTGAAATAATGACTTAAGAAATAAGTGCTGGGTTGGGATGTGGCTCAGTAGTAGAGCTCTTGCCTTGCATGCACAAGGCCCTGAGTTTGATCCCTAGCACCACACACACAAGAAATAAATGCTGAGGGTGATCTGGCAATGACATCTGTCACCCCATTGGTTGACAGGGTTGATATGGCTAATCGTGCTGGCTAGACAGGTGTCTTCTTCCTTCCTCACCACTCTATGTGCTCCATGTGTGTTCCTCCCAAGCCTGCATGCCTCCCTGCTCTCGATAGTGGAGGACTGTTTCCTTGGTCAAGGGTATAAAAGTAGCTATGCTCCTCTGCTAGAACCTCTAAACAAGCGCTCAAGAAATACATGCTGTGCTCCAACACTTTTTAAAAATAAAAAAAGACTATAAAGAGTCAGATAATTTATTTTAAAATAAACATATAAATTTAAGTAGAAATGAAAGTGTGCCTAGTGATAGTAATGCATGAAAAATTACCCAAAAAATGAAAAAAGTAAAACCAAGCAAAAAATAGTCAATCATTAAAAATCTTAGTGAAAAATGAAATGTAATTTGGGTTATAATACTGCTCTTCTATTTCTTTTTAGGAACGAATTGGAATCTGTGAAAAAAGAACTAAAACAGACAGAGGATGAGGTTAAATGTAAATTGGAAAAGAGTGAAGAAAATGTATGTTTTATTTAATAGTTTTTGTACAAAGTTTCAGTTCATAAAAATGACTACATATATCTAAAAAACAAAGCAAACTATAGTATTATACAAATATAACTAAAGATGTAGGGATTGTTATAGGCCATTAATCTTAAAAATATAGACAAAATTGGATTATTTTGCTTATCTATATTTGTAAGAAATAGTAACATAACTGAATTTATTATATTTTTAATTGTATAATTATATTTATAGTACATTTATGTTTTAAATTAAAATTCAGTATATTTCTGGGCTTAAAGAGTTGTGCTATGGTAATATGGAATATGGAAAAAGTTTGCATTGCACTTTTGTGAATTTCATTTCAACAAGTTGAAATGGAAGTTTTTTAGGAAAGAACTTGACTAGTACAAATTATATGACATGATTGTGCAGTATAATATGTAATATATAAAGTGGGAGAAAATTGTATGAAGATAGAACAAGCTAGATTATAAAGGCTATGTCTTCTTTCACTAGTTCAGTAAATATTGTATTATCTACCCTCCGGTATGTGCCAGGCATTGTTCTGGATGCTGTTTGGATTTCATTTCTTTTAGTGGACAGTAGTGATTTAATAAGTTTTTATTGAGGAGACGAGACCTTTTAATATTTAAGAATAGAGTGGGGAGAGATGAAATGTGCTAGAAATTAGAGGGCTATTAAAAATAGTCTTGAGTTGGGGCTGGCGATATAGCTCAGTGACACAAGTGCCTGCCTGGCAAGTGTAAGGTCCTGAGTTTGATTCCCAGTACCCAAAAAAGAAAATAGTTTTGAGGACTGTTAAAATAATCTGAGTGGTGGGTGTATAGTGCAGTGGTATAGTGCTTGCCTAGCATGTGTGGGCCCTGGGTTTGATCCCCAGCACTGAAATTTAAAAAAAAAAGTCTTGAAAATGCTAAAAAAAAAAAAAACCAAAACCTTGAAGACTCTTACCAAGAGAGAACTTGTTCCTGAGTCAGTGATTGTAGCAAGGGATTACAGTAACCAAGCCAGGCTTGCGGTTGCATGCTTCTTCCTGGAAATAGTCTCAGGAACTGAACAGAAATACTATGGAATATATAGTAAGAGGTTTTGCTTACATAGGAAAGGGTATTGCTGACTAGACCAAAACATATGTCCTCTATCTGGATGCTATTGGAGTCTATAGAAAGGACATCTAAGCTGGATGTGGTGGCTCATGTCTGTAATTCCAGCACTTACAGGGTTGAGGCAGGAAGATCGCCCCAAGTTTGAGGCCGGCCTGGGCTGCATAGTGAGTTCAAAGCCAGTCTGAACATCATAGTCAGAGCTCATCTCAACAAAACCAGAACATCACAACACAAAAAAAAGGGGTGAACATCTAATCCAAATTTAGATCAGAGTAAGTTTCCTAAAAGAAATAACATTTAGATTTAGTTCACTTAGATTAATAGGATTTATTGGAAGGTAATAGCATGGACCCAAGTATAATAGAAAAGGAATATTCCAACTTAAAAAAATAATACACATATTTATATGGGAAGGTGGGGAAGTATGAGAGAACATGGCATACTTAAGCAACTATAAATTCACTAGGGTTGAAAGATAAAGTTAAGGTGGTGGTGATAGTGAAGAGAGTGGGAAAAGGTGAGTGTATAGAGATGAGATACGAGAGTCAAGAAAGATGGGTTTGGATCATTTAAGGCCACATAAGTAGTAAAAGGGAGGTTATTGAAGAGTTTTGACTTGAAGGTTAATTATATTTACACTTTAGAAAGATATGACTACTGGAATAACAAATTTGATGTTTAATATAAAATCTCTGTTAAGAATTTAAAGTACAACATATTTTGACAATATAGAAGGTATTAGCAATGAATTAAGGAAAAAGCAAAATACAACGTATTATTAAGATTTTAACTTACTTATTCAAACAATTTTCCAGAAAAAATATCAAGTTGCAAATTGTTTGGCCAATGGGTAATTTCATTTCAGTTTTTTTTCTTCCAGTCCTCTTACCTTAGTTAAGATATTATTTCATTCACACTTTGTCTATCTGAGCTTCTGTTCCTAATATCTAAACTGTAGATAACAATGCCCATCCTTTCTATCTCACTGGATTGTTACAAGGTTCAGATTAACAAATGTCTGGAAAAATATATTTTAGACATTATAAACATTTATATACAAGATTTTAAAAATTCAAGATAGCACTAGTAAATCTGATATTGTATGATCTTAAGTCACCAATGAGGAACATTGACATGTAAACAGTAACATAAAGATGGTTTTTTAATTGACAAATAAGAGTTATGTATATTTATGGTGTATAAAGTAATATTTTGATATATGTGTACATTGTGATAAAATTAAACTGGTGAACATATCCATCACTTAACATACAAAGATGATTCGCTTTTTAAAAAAGGACACTTGAAATAAATTGGGAGACCTGATAACCATGTTTTGTAGAAATATGTCTTAAGTTTTATAATTTCATTTCTAAAAGATAAAGAAGAAAATAGCAATTTTGTTAACATTTTTAATCTGATGTCAATATTTTTTTAGGCTCGAAGCGTTGAATGTGAAGTTTTAAAAAAAGAGAAGCAAATAAAGATATTGGAAAACAAGGTATTTTCTAATTGTAAAAAATGTTTGGGAGTATAAAATTTGTAAATACATGACTGGATTCTGAAGGGCCAGCCTTTTTTTTATTGTATGTGAAGAAATTCATTTTTCCCTTCTGTGAACCTCTCTATACACTTATGTAAACTTGACTTTACACATAAAGAATAGTCCTCTGGACAGTGTAGTTCATTTTCAAGAAATTCTGATCTAATAACACCATTTTCTTATACCTGGGGATTCTTGTAAATAAAATTCTTCATTGCTATGCACATGGATTTTCTGAAAATGAATTTGATATTTCACTTTTTCAAGAATTTCTAGTCATTCTTCCAAATACATTTTAAGTATCTTTAAACATTAAGAAGGAAAAAAATTTTAGGAAAAAGTCATATAGTAATAATTAGCCCTAATTTTGAAGATGGTTTATATTTAAAAGGGATGCACACTTAAGCACCTTTAATTTTCATTAGCTTATGCAGAAAGAAGAAAGAGTGGGATGGTTGGAGTAGGATGAGGCAATCAAAACATCCAAAATTAATATTTCTCATATCATTTTAGTGTATATATTCACATATTTTGGACTGTAGTAGTGCCAGTAAAGATGATTATTAGGAAAAGGTAGCAGGATAAACTCTCAGGGGAATAGGTTTTGATGGCCTGAAGAATAGAAGACTAAGAAACAATGCAACATGTGCTCTTTCTGGCAAAGTAACAAGTATTTTGATGGTGTCTTGGATGATAGTCTAAATTTGAACACTTATTTGGTGAGAGCAAAAAAATCCCTGGTTTTCTGTGAATAGTTTTAAATTTCAATTAAATTTTACATTGTTTGAAATTGCATTTTTTTTTTTAAAAAGCAGCTCAGCCATTTTCTATGATCTCCTTGTTCAAACAAGTAGTTTTAAGTCTTTAATTTCTTTAAATATAGTAAGTACAGTGGACCCCCAAAATTTGTTGGGGTTACATTCCTAGAGCATGTCTAAATTATGAAAAGCTGTGAATTTCAGATATGGCCAGAAAAATGCCTATAAATGCTTATTTTTATAGTTTAAATCCTAAATATGCTAAGTCTCCCATAGTTATGTAATTTAATAAAATATTACATTAATAAAACCTTAGAAGGTGCAAGAAATTTTGGTGGCATCTTAAGGATCTTAAGGCTTTAAGAAGGACAAAACTGAGAGCCCTTGAGGTAGCTAAACACCATATAGCATTCTGTTAGGATATGGAAATGCTGGATTTGAGTTACAGGGCAGCAACTAATTAGTAGCAAGAACTGAATAACGCTCTTGGATTGGCTACTTGCAAACTTCCAAGCAAAAAACAATTGCGGATGATATTTGCAATTTCTGTAAAATTGTGGGTGTTACCATGCACAGTTTTTAGGTTCTAAGGAAAAGTGTGCGAATGACTGAGGCCAAGAACTCTAAACTGCGACTTTGTGGTGTTATATACTGTATATGTATTACATACTCCATGTCTGATAATACCATTATCTCAAATCTTTTTAGGTCTGATTTTGTACTTTGTATTTTCTTGTGATTTTTACTTGTTGAGCCTTATTTTTGAAATTTTTATGATTTTTTTTTTGAATATTATCTATGAGAATTCTTTAGATTTATGAGAATTTTTCTTGGAAGCGCTACTAACCAGAGACCATTTTAAATTAATTTCTCAATTTGTACTTTTTCTGGATTACAATAGAATTCAGCCTGTAAAGCCATATAAGGATACCGCATGGTTACAGAGTTTTCAGGGAGAACTTTTATTCTTTTCACTCAGTGCCAGAGACAGAGAAGTTCCCTTATTGTACCCTCATCTATGGCAGATTTGTTTCTTGTTTATCTTTTCACTTGACTTTGAATTTCTGGCTTAATGTGGGTCTGTCTTACTGGACTTTTTACATTTAGGGAACCCTAGTTTTTGTCTCACGTCTCTTACCCTGGTTGGGATTCTGCTGATATTCTTAGAACAAATGCTGGCTTTGGTATTAGCCTGAAACTTCAGTATCACTTTAGTATGATAATGTAAAATAATCAGATTCTTTACTTTTTAGCCTTTTATGTTAAAATTATTATTATTAGGAGGCTCATTCTGGGGATCTTAGTAGATTTTCTGTCAAAAATGGAAATACTTTATTTTTAAAGTAAATAAAATTATATGCAAAAACTTCTACATGCTATTATGTTTTCCCCAAATTTGTATGAAAATCAATGAGATGTTTATTGCTTTTTAAAAGCTTTTCTACCTTAGTTTCCTTTTGAATTTTCTGTAAAAGACCATTTGTAGGCTTAGGAATTATAAAAATTTAGGTAAAGTAAATCACTTGTAAACAAATAGCAGTACCATATATTACTCAGTTTCTGAATGTTAGCAGAATATGATTACATGAGTGCTGCATGAAAAATATTTAACAATATTTTGTACTGAGGAAAGAGATTTAAGGTTTTCCCAGCGAGATGCCTTTACTTTGATGAGAAGTAGAGAACTTTATATATCTAATATATATGAGAGTATATTTTTATAGTTATATTTTAATATAACTATAAGATATTAAAAATATTTTATTTATATTGAAATATAACTGTAAAATATTTAAAATATTTTATTTATATTAAAATATCCTGTGATATTTTAGGATCCCTGTGCTGACTTTATAGTACTTCAAACATTTCTTGGGCTATTAAGTTCAGCATGCATACCCAGAGGAAAATAATCTCCCAGAGTGAAATGTTAAAAAGTGGATTGGTTGGTATTTTAATAAAAGAAAATAAAATTTAATTAGGGAGGAGGTAGAGTTTCATATTATTGCTTTCTCACAAATGCAATAAGCATCTCAGAAAGGAGAAAGGAAGAAAATGAATAAGAAAGAAGATACATTAGACTTAGCTTTGGCAGCTGCCTTTCATTAGCTATTTAGTAATATAATTCAGCCTTCTGTGTGGGATTGACCACAGAGCACATTTACTTAAAATAGATGAATTCATGTTATTGAAATAGATTAATAAGTTTTAAGAATCTTAAATTTATAAACTTTATTAAAATATGTAACTACATAATTTTTTACATTAATGAAATTAACACATGACTTTTGAAGTGAGCTTTATGTTACTTTATGCAACATTTTTTTTAGTCTAAAATTGTTTATTTTCTCGGGAATATTGGATAAAAAACTAATTTCTCATAATTTTCTAGTGTAACAATTTAAGGAAACAAGTTGAAAACAAAAGCAAGTATATTGAAGAGCTTCAGCAGGAGGTTGGTACTGCTTGTATCTATTCTTAACATCAAACCAGTATTTTTTTTTTTTTTTGGTTTTTTTTTTTTTTTTTTTTTCCCAGTACCAGGAATTGAACTCATGACCTTACGCTTGCCAGGCAGGCACTGTGCCACTGAGCTAAATCCCCAGCCTCTCAAACCAGTATTTTTGCCTTAGTTTTAGAGAATAATACTTTCTTTTCAGTAATAATTTAAGTCAGTGGCAGTTATTTAAGTTTAAGTTACTTAGTACTAAATATAATTCTCTATTTTTGACTTGTTATAGAATAAGGCCTTGAAAAAAAAGGGGACAGCAGAAAGCAAGCAACTGAATGTTTATGAGCTAAAGGTATTTGACTGCTTTAGTTTTTTAAAAAATACTCATAAATATGTGAGAATTTAGAAATGAATGTTACACCATTTATTTATATTGTAATAGTTACTTTCAAAGATTATTGTCTTTTTGGATTGAAGATATCAGTCTGTAGTTGTGATATAGTGCTCACCTGTGATGTAAATAATTTAAAATCCTTTAATCTCCTTAAAATATGTGTGTACATTATATATGTGTGTTCATCTTCCTTACCCATACATTCTAAAATGAGATTAAGTTTTGAATTTACATTTAAAAAAGATTCATATATGATTATCCTGCTGCACAGGGGTTTGAAAACCATCCTCCTTGTAGAAAACAATTTAAAGTCCTAGGCTTATGAAACATTACTTGTAGTAGCCTCAAATTGAAGACAAAACAGATGTTTACCAATAGTATAAAAATCAACCAATAAAAAGTCACCCTAGGGTAACTCAAATGCTAGAATTTTTTAAATTAATTAATTTATTTATTTTTGGTACTAGGAATTGAACTGAGGACTTTGGCTTGCTGTGCTGCTAAGCTAGCTCCCTGGCCCAATGTTAGAATTTTTTATGTCTTACAGGCAGATTTTTAAAAAACAAACTCAGAGATTGGAAAATATAATGATAATGATAGAATAAATGAGGAATCTTAGTGAAGAAACAAACTTTAAAAAGAATCAAATAAAAGGTCTAAAACTGAAAAATGAAACATTTAACCATACCAAACCAAACCAAGAAACAGTTCTTTATGGTCCTATGAGTACATTAAGATAAATGAATAATGTGTCAGTGAAATTGAAGCTAGATAAAACAGAAATTTCTAGCTAGAGGAACACAGAAAAAGATTCTTTTTAAAAAAGGGGGACTATCAAGTGATTTTAAGTATGTAGAGTCCCTGAGGGGGAGAAAGAGGAGGCAAAGAAAATTATTTGAATTTCTAAAATCTTGCTTTAAATAAAAACATTAAAGGTCTATGGCCCTCTGCAAATTCAAAGCAATATAAAAGAAAACTATACCTAGGCAAGCATATCTTAGTCAAATTTAAAACAAGATAAAGAGAAAATTTTATTAGAGAAAAATGTCACACTGTGGAATAGTGATACAAGTGATGCCTGACTTTGAAAAGGACAATGAAATCCAGATGACACAAAAATGACAGTTGTAAAATGATTAAAGAAATAAATCATCAATCCAGAATTCTGTATGCAGCAAAAATAACTGTAAAATTAAGTTGAAATTGAGATTGGCACTACAAGAACGCTAAAGGAATTTTTCAAACTAAAGGAAAGTGACATCAGATGGCAACTTGGAACAATAGAAGAAATAGAAAGCAGTGGAAATGGTACACGTGTACAGGAAAGCTACATATTTTTATTTTTTCTAAATTTTAAAAGATATATGTGCTACACTAAAAATTTCAAGATGTTTGAAACTAAAAAAACATGGTTACTGTAGTGTTTAAGAGATATGATAACCGTAGTGCACAAATGAACAGGAAAGTATGCATAACCATTCTCTCTCTATCTATCTATATCTATCTATCTATCTATCTATCTATCTATCTATCTATCTATCTATCTATCTGAAGTAGTAGAGTCAACTCAAGGAGCATGTGGTACATATTACCCTTTCCGGAAAAAAAACTACTACAAAATAATAGAAATAAATGTTATTATCTTAGTTTGGATGGCTATAATAAAGAACCATAGACTTCAGTGTCTTAAACAATAAGCACTTATTTCTTACAGTTCTGGGGTCTGGGAAGTCTAAGGTCAAGGCACAGGCAGATTTGATACCTGGTGGACTCTTGCATGCTAGTTCATAGACAATTATCATTTCACTGTGTCCTCAACACAGCAGGAGGAGGAGGAGAGAGAGAACTGTGTTGAGCAATTCTTTTTGTGACCATTTCCCGTCAACTCAGATAACCATTAGCAGTTTTTAACAATACAATTTTAAATGAGGTCTGTACATTGTTCTTTTAGACATAGTGCTCTTGCAAATTTAATAATATGGTGTAAACATGACTTTTATATGCACTGGGAAGCCAAATATTCTGTGTGATTCTCTTTTAATACATATTTTATTGCAGTGGTCTGGAATCAAACACACAGTATTTCTGAAGTGTATGTGTATTTCAAATATTAGTGGAGTAATATAGTAATAAAAGGCAAAGATTGTTGGTCTGGATAAAATAGTCAAGACCAAGCTATATGTTGTCTATAAGAGACATATTTTATTTAATAAAAAGTCAAAAGAGTTTGAAAGTAAACAGTGGAAAGGTAAACCATATACCATGCCAACAGTAAACATAGGAAAGGTGGAGTACTATTTTAATAACACAAAAAATAGATTAAGGGATAAGGAATGTTATCAAAGGTCAAGAGAGATGTCATATAATCATAAAGATGTCAATAAGAAAGATAATACTAATCATGAATATGTTTGTACATACAGTAATGAAAGGACATCAAAATACATTAGGGCAAAGCAAAAACCAACTAAAATGAGAGAGAAATTCATAGTCATAGTTGGAGATTATAAAATCCTTTCAACAAGTGAAGAAAAATCTTTATGGTTATAGAAAATCTGAACCGGTGGCTGGGGATTAGCTCAGCGGCACAGCGCCTGCCTGGCAAGTGCGAGGTTGTGAGTTCAATTCTGGGTACTGGAAAACAACAACAACAACAACAACAACAACAAAAAAGCTGAATAGCACTTTCACCTACCTTGACAATTGCCATTTATAGAACTCTAAACTGGAAGCTATAAATTCTGCAGAAGTACACATAGAACATTTAACAAGATAGAACAAGGACAGGGGTATGAAACAAATTCCCATACAATTCAAAAGACTGAAGTCTCACAAAGTATGTTCTCTTTCTATCATAGAGTGAAATCAGAAATAAGAAATCATAAAATATTATTTCCACTATTTGGAAATGAAACATTACACTAGAAAATAATTCATAGGATGAACAAATCACAGAATCAGAAATTATTTAAAAATGAATGGTAAAAAATAAGTATTTGTAAAATGCAAATAAAGGAAATGTATATAGGTTTAAGTATTTATTTTAGAAAAGAAGAAATCATCTAGGTTCCCATCTAGAAACTTAAGAAAAGATGCAAATTAAATCCACAGAAAATACAGAAAAATAATAAAGGAAAGATCAAATAAATGAGAGACAAAAAAGAGGCAAAAATTTATTCTTTTAAAATATAAATTAGATTGATTAGCTCCTAGCACGGAGAGAATGAGAGACAGAGGCAGAGGGACAGAGGGAAAAATGAAAGAAGACTTCTCAACCAACCAAACAGACAAAAACAAAAAATAAAACTTGTGAATTGTGTAATTAAAAATGATTATAAAGTAGAAAACTTTATGTTAGGTATTTTCCACATTAAAAGATTAAAAAAATGATCAAAAGACTTGGATAAATACAAAGGAAAGTGCAGAAATGATTAACGTATGATAAATGTTCAACATCTTTAGTTAAAAGATAAATGAAAAATAAACCCACAATAGGATACCACTAAGCATGACCAGCTATATAGTATACAAAGCTCACTGCAAAATGAAAATGTGGGACACATAGATAAAAAAATGATTTAAGATGTCAAAATAGTGGCAATAGAGCATGAAACTAAGTGGTAGGCTTTCTGTGACTCATACCTATTATACTGGGCCCTGCCCACAAGAATGGATAAAATTAAAAACAGTCAGTGAGCCAGGCATTATAGTACATAGTTATAATCCCAGCACTCTGGGAGGCTGAGGCAGGAAGATTACAAATTTGAACTTGGCCTGGACAATTTAGCAACGTAGTAAGACCTTATTACAAAAACAAAAGTACTGTCAACAACAAACTTTAATGATGATATGGATTAACCAGAACCTGCATACATTTCTGTAGGGGTATAAGATAATATAATTACTATACAGTGGTACCTTGGTTCACAAATCTAATTTGTTCTATGATATTGGAAATGATGGCCACATTTGTGTTTGTTTGGGAAAGATGGCTGCAGTCATTTTGTCATTTAATGCAGTTTGCAAACAAAAACAAAATTTTTCCAAATGCTGCTGTTTGAGAACCAGATTGTTTGCAAACAAATGGGTTTGTGAACCAAGGTACCACTGTACTTTGGAAAATGGTTTGGTGTTCTCTTACAAAATTGATGTAATGGGGCAGGCCTGTAATCTCAGCACTTGGGATGCTGAGGCAGGAGAATTGCCGTGAGTTCAAGGTCAGCCTGAACTGCATAGCAAAAATGCTGTCTCAGTGCCCCCTATGAAAAACCAAAAATGAACATGCATCTACTCGATGACTTGACAGTTCTTTTCCTATAAATGTTAAAATAAGAGAATTGAAAACATGGTCTCGAAAAGCCTCGTACAGTAATATTTATAGCAACTTTATCCACAACAATAAAAAACAGAAAAAATTCAAATATCTGTTAACAGGAGACTGTATAAACAAGCTAGGAATACATGTTTTATGAAATAGTCTCAGAAATAAAAAGATCTATTGATATGTTCAGGAACATGGATGACCTTTCTAATGTGTTGACATAATCTATATCTGAAATAAATAATGGCATAAGAATAAATTTATTTTAGTAAATGCTTATTATTTAATGTTAATTCATATATGAGAGTAATTTGGCATGATTGCAAATGAAGTCTTAGAATAGACAGAGCTATTTTATAGAGATAGAGCAGAGCTGTTGGTTGTCTGGGAAGGAGTATAAGCAAATTTCCTGAGAGTATGGAAATTGTATCTTTTTTTTTTGAACCCAGAAAGAAAAAGGTATAATTCTGACTGCACCAGATCCCTGATTTTTTTTTTTTTGTTTTTGAAATGGGCCTCACTTTATAGTTCAGTTCAGCCTTGTAGCCCCAGCGAACAAAGAGCTGAATGATCCTCCTGCTTCAGCCTAGCAAAGTACTGGGGTTACAGGTGTGTATCACCACACCCAGCTAGACCATGATTCTTTTTTTTTTTATGTTTATTTTTGCAGTACCAAGGATCAAACTCATGACCTTGCGCTTTCCAGGCAGGCATTTATGACACTGAGCTATATCCCCAGCCCCCCTTACACCCTGATTCTTAATGTCTTTTTTTTAATCCAACAACATTGAAATATGTACTACTATAAAATCCATTTGGGGAGAGAACCAGGAGCAAAAGGAAATCAGTAATTCTCTCTTTAAGACAGATGTGGTAGCACAATCCTGTAATCCCAACACTCAGGAGGAGGCTGAGGCAGGGGGATTGCCTTGATTTTGAGGCCAAAATTACATAACAGAAAACCCCAAAACAAACAAAAAATTACATTGCCTAGAGCAGTGGTGGCAAACCTATGACAAATGTCCCACAGCAGGCTGTTTGTATCATTTTTGAAAGCTCTAAAAAGTTTGCCATCACTTTCCTAGAGTGCCAGACAGGTTTTGATTTGTTTCTTGAGTACACATTGATTCCTAATAAAATCTGAGCAAGTTTTAAATTTCTCTTGCATAAAACAGGACACATACCCTATGCTTACATTATTTGTGGCTGGGTTCCAATATCATTTGCCAAAGTTTAATCAAATTTTGTACTTAAAATCATGAATTTTGTTACATGTAAATTACAGCTTAATAAAGTTGAACTCATTGATAGGGGTAGATTTTACTCTGGAGCGGCTTTTAATTTTTCAGACAATTTAATCAATAGTTGTATTACTCAGTTGTTACATTGCTTAAATTTTGGTAAACTGTAATTTTCTGGGTTTCACTCAGTACATCTGCATTTTCTATAGTTTGAAAATTATCTGTAGCATCTGTAGTAATGTCTTATCATTCCTGGTGTTGGTTATTTGTGCGTTCTTTTTTTTTTTTTTGATCAAGGTCCTTAGGAGCTTGTCAGCTTTGGAAGTTTTTAAGAAGCATAACACCTTGGGTTATTTCTTTTCTTTGTGTTTAACTTGAGATGTATTCTTAGATAATTAACTTTTAGTCTGATATACCCATTTTGAGGCTATGAAAATTCCCTTTCAGCATTGCTATAGCTATATCCTATAGATTTTGAAATATAGTGAATTAGTATTATCTGGCTCAATAACCTCCTATATTTCTTAATTTCTAAACTAAAAGGCGTTGCTATGTTTTTATTGTGATTTTTAGCTTTAGAGAGCACACTAGACTCAGTACTTTCAAATTTACTGATATTTGTTGGATGACCCAGTATAAGATTACTTTTTGTAAATAGGCCTATGTAGCGAGCAGTGATGTATATTCTACAGTTATGGGGTGTTCCATTATCAAGATTACTGGTCATCTTTAAGTTTATATATCCTTTCTCTTTCTATATCTTAGAGTTTCCCTTTATGTTTTATTAATTACTTGACTGAGAGAAATGTGTTAAAAATTTCACAATTGTGGATTTATGTTATTTCTAGTTCTCCCAACTTTGTTTTATTAGATATCTATTTATTACTTAGCATATATGGTATATATATATATATATATATATATATATATATATATGATACAACTTTCTCTAATATTTAATATGTACTTTATATATAATTTTTATTAAAACAGATACTACATTTATCTCTGGTAGTACTTCTTTGTTTTAGAACATTTTTTCTCTTACAACTATACCGATTTTCTTGTGTTTGTTTCCATGGTAAGTTTTTCAAATTTTATTTTTGTCCCCTCCCTCCCTCACTCCCTTCCTTCCGTACTGGGGATTGAACTGAGGGCCTTTACACTGAGCTACATTGTTAGCCCTTTTTATATTTTATTTTGAGACAGAATCTCGCTAAGTTGCCTGGGCTGGGCTTGAGCTTGAAATCTTTCGTCTCCCGGGGTGCTGGATTAGAAGGGGTGTGAGCCACTATGCTTGGCTTGTATCTTTATGTTTCACATGTCTCTTAAAAATAACATATTGTTGGAGTTGATAATTTTATCCCTTCTGGAAGTCTTTGTCTTTTTTACTGGTAAACTTGGCATTCATATATATCATCTCCATTATGTCTTGTCTTAAATACTACTGTATTATGTTGTTACTGTCATTTGTTTTAGTGATTTAAAATATTATTAAATTTTGCATGTTAACATATTGTCCAAGATGAAGGAAACAGTAAATTGGGGAGTAAATAATTTCTAAGAATATATACAGTTGATGAATGACATGGATTTGTAGATATAAAAATAAAGACCTAAACTAAGCAGGAAAAATTAAAATCTTGTAATAACACTACAGAATATTAGACACAGAGAGGTATCAAAAATAGCTACCAAGATATTGGAAGATCATTAATGAATGATCATCTTAGCAAACAACAATTTAAATTAGAAAATAAAGACAGTATATTCTCAAGTACTAAGTAGACACTGTTTACTTTGAATTATGTCCACCAGATATCTGTCTTTTAAGAATTTTGGACAAGTGAGGATAAAAAAGTGAGGGAAATAGCATTTTCAAGGACAGTTAACACTAGTTATCAGTGATTTTATATATGTATTGGGATGTCATAGATGTGTCTATCTACATAAAATTCAAAGGAGTTACACAGAGTATATTCTTTAAAAGTTCTGTTAATCTAGAAATCACATTTTTATCAAAGTCCAAAGGTAATAACTTGCACTGGGAACATAATTAGTGCAATATATTTGAAAAAAGTTAAATTGAAATGGATTAATTAAAATAATGTCAAGAAGAAATAACTAGCCTAAATAGTTCTAGTAAGGAAATTGAATTGATTTAAAATATTTTAGAAAGCATTTTCTATACAAAAAAATCTATCTGTACATGAATCAATACAGTCATTAGGTGTGTTTAGTAAGGTTATTAGATACTTGCACAGGAGTCAGTAGTTTTAAACACCTGCAGGAAGCTATTAAAAATATAATTTGAGAATATCTGATGTATATTTATATATGAAAAATAAAATGTTGGATTGCTTATAATTGATCTGTATTCAGTTACAATTCCAGCAGGGGTTTTTCTAGAACCTAACAATCTGATTCTGAAATTTATGTATAAGAAGAATAGGCTAAGAATAGCTAAAGCAATCTTTAAGAAGAGCAAGGTGGGAAAGGTGTCCTACCAGATATAAAGATTATTTGTATAGCTAGGGTAATTAAGACAGCATAATATTTGCATGAAGGTAGTCAAACCATTTGAGCAATAGAGGGAGCCCTAGAGAAAAAAAGTTCATGCCTAAATGCAAACTTGACTTAATACAGAGGCTGTACTGCAGATCTATACATTTGTCATTTGACATATCGCTGGAGCATTTGACTATTCTTGTATTAAAACTACATGCAAAAAGGAGTTCCTTTAGGGTATACATGTTAAAGGCAAGACTTCAGATTTTAAGAAGGTATGACAGAATTTCTTTAGGACTAGGGGATAGATTTCCCAAACAAGGTAAAAACAACTATATTTGAAAACATTGATAAATTCATATATACTATGGTTAATAATTTCTGTTTAATTAGAAAGCAAAGAAACATCAGTTCTACACAGTTGTACCAAGAGGTGTGTACAAGAGCATTCATAGCTTTATTCAGTGTTTATAAACAATTGATAAACATAGCTAAGTATGTGCTCTATTCACACAATGAAACACTATTAAGCAAAGAAAACAAACTTTATACAGGTAAATATCTAAAACATGTTGAATGAAAAAAACAAGACATATACTGTAAAAATTAAAGTTCAAAACCAAACAGTACTCAGGGGTCCATAATTCAATAAAACTATAATTAAAAGAGAATAAAGAATATAAGTATTAAGAATATTTGTTACAGTTGAGGATGCAATAGGGAAAACTAACAAAGAGGTCTTGTAGAAGAAGCCTTTAGCAGTATTGGTTAATTCATGGATATAGTTGGTGGTTCATTAATGGTTATAGAATAGAGTCTGATTCATTGTTAAATTACCCATGCCTTCCTTCCCCATGTCTTGTTCCTGTCAAATACACCTCTCCCAATTCTAATTCATCCCTAAGATAAAAGTGAATCTGGAGGATGCGTTCTAACTGAGGGCACATTTCTCTTGGTAACTGTTACATTTGACTCAGAGCTTTGTAAAGGTTTATACAAATAATGTAAAAACAGTAGAAATTGAAGGTGTTTCTTTTTTATGGAAAACTAATCTCATTAATTTGCTTTGTTTTTGAATGCATAGATTTTCTGCCCAACTGAAACAGTTACTTTTCATACTAAAGCATAGAGAACTGAAATTAACCAGTTGAAATGCATTAAAATAAATTTGTAGCTGTTTATTTTATATTATTTGTCAAGACAAATATGTATTTTGGGGGATAAAATTGTGAAAAATGAAATACATCTTTCCATGTGAAAAATGTAAGAAAAATAAACCAACCAAAATTTTCGTGAATAAGTAATGTTTTAATATTAACAAAACCACAAAATGAATGTGAAATATTTTGCTTTAATGCTGATATTACTGATCCACTATTTACTGATATTAATGCTATTTTCTTTACTAAAAGGTCAGTAAATTAGAATTAGAACTAGAAAGTACCAGACAAAAGTTGGAAGAAATGACTCACAACTACCAAAAAGAAATTGAGGATAGAAAATTACTAGAAGAAAATCTTTTGGGACAGGTGAGAAAAACTAAATATGTTTAGAACTTGTAATACAATTCTATATTCATTAGCATTTAAAGAAAAAAATAATAAAGATTCTTAAATTTAAATTATGATTTTTAGAAAGATTTAATAAATTCATGTTAGGAGCAGTTGTCAACTACTATAGCTAAAAGTATCCCTGTTATTATAAATATAAACACGAGGAAATAATCCAGAACTGTGATTGTCATAGTTATTTTTCATATTGCTGGGACAAAATGCTTAACATCCACACATTAAAAAGACAAAAAGTTTTTATTAGCTCACTGTCTGTAGACATTTTAGTCCATAGTTGGCTGGCTCCAAGGCAGAGTGGCATGCCAGAGGTGCAGAAACAGTCCCTGGCTTGGCAGGCAGAAGGCAGAGAGCAGCAGATGGCAGCAACAGGAGCAAGCTTCTTACCCTTTTGTCCAATCCAGGTTATAAGCCCTTTGAGTAGTGCCACTGACACCCAGGATGGGCCTTCCCGTTGTCCACACCCAGAACTATGCTAAACCAATTAGTGGACTAATTTAGTTCTCACACTCTTAATCCATATTCACACACCCTAGATCCAACTACCACTGAAAAGCCCAACCTATGAATGTATGAGGCTTCAGGGGTACATCTAGATACAAGCCATAACAGTGATGCATTTTCTACCAGTTTTTTTTCTAATTTCCTGGTGTTTGAATTTTCCATTTTTATATAAGACATACACTTTGCTTTTTACATTTAAGTTAAATTTGTTTTTTACGCATTAATTTTAAGAAATACTGTTTTTTTGATAGATTGAGAAGGCAACATTAAGAGCTGATGAAGCAATAAAATTACAGAAAGAAATGGATATACGATGTCAACATAAAATAGCTGAGATGGTGGCACTTATGGAAAAACATAAGGTAACTTTCATACAATAAAAATTATCAATTTTTGTTTTTAAAAATTTTTTTTATTAGTAACATGTTTGCAATTCACACTGCAGGAAGAGAGGGGGTAGGGAGAGGGAATAGGAAGGGGATTAGAAAAAATGACTAATTGAAGTCATATTTCTGTGCAAAAATAGTGAACTCCTGATAGTATTCTGGTTTGTCAGACAAAAATTACTGTCTATACAACAGTGACTAATTAGAGCTGGAATACTCTGGATCCTACATTTCTCTAAGTTCAGATCTTAACCATACAAAACTTGGCTTGGGTGTTACATCCTAGAGCAAATATCTGCTGATCTATTATTCTAGTAGTTTTATAGTACTTTCTATATTTTATTTAAATACATACCCAATATGCTCTACATTAATATTTGTGTCATGTGTAATATTTGTACATGTATCTAATGCTTACTAGGCTAAGTAATTTTTAACAAAAGAATAAATGGTTTGAAAGGCTTACTGTTTGTGTCATCTATTTTTTGTGGTTGTTTAGAGTAATTCTTCTATTAGGAAAATATGCGTTAGTTTCCTCATGATTTGTAGAGACAGTAGCCTACCTATTCATTTTTAAAAATTGTTGCTTGAATCTAACATTATTATGATGTAACCAATGAAAATTCAAAAATTAACATTATGAACTCATACATTTAAACAAATTTGTTATGTTTCTTAAAACATAACATATTAATTCTTAAATTGTCTCACCTTTGCCCAGTAGATGTCTTTCAAAGTTGGCTAGTAATTCCTACTGACTTGATGATAATAGTTTCTGGTAACTTACTTTTTGTCATGACAGGATTTTCAAGGCTCCTTTTGTGTTTTCTGTCCCAGATTTGGAGTTGGCCACTTTTCTGAGAAATTCTGGTGTTTCTGATATATTTTTTAAACGGTGAAATTGAATGTTTCCAATAAAGAGTTACTTCACACCCTTAGATTATTTCCAAGACTGATATTTACTGTTGAATAAGTTTTAGATTATTTGAATGAAAAAATATAATTGAAAAAACTATATATCTGTACTGTGATAAACATCCTTTTAAAATACTACATGTGGTTAGATAATGGTATTATAAAACAAAATTATTGTTTTAATATATTTTTGTTTAATGCAGCACCAGTATGACAAGATTGTTGAAGAAAGAGATGCAGAATTAGGACTTTATAAGAGCAGAGAACAAGAGCTGTCATCTCTGAGAGCATCTTTGGTGAGATACAGAAGAAATATTAAAAGCCAGTTTTTATAATGTTAGCATGCTTGTGGTAAAAATAGTATTGTGTAAAGTGGTAATTTTTGAGCTATGGAAGCATGGTCTTATCTGAAAGGGTTCTTACAGATCTTCTGAGGTGGTTTTCTAATTTATTTTTTGAAATACTAGAACAAACTTTCTTTTCAAATGAAATGTTACAAGGTCCAGTTAAGTAAATTTCAAGCTCTGATTGGGGAAAGAGAAGGAGATTAGGAGAGGATGAAGACAGATAGATTTAGTGTTAAATCTTTCTTTTGGAGAAAACTAAACAATTAAGTGAATCTACTTACAACCTTTGTATCTGCAGACTTTTTAAGAGATATTTTATTAGTAAATTTCTGTAGGGCTGAATTTACTTGAAAAACTAGTTCACATTTTCAGTCTTAAAAAATATAGGAGAGGGGCTGGGGATTTAGCTCAGTGGCAAAAGCGCCTGCCTGGCAAGCGCAAGGTCGTGAGTTCGGTTCCCGGTACCGGAGAAAAACCAAAAAAAA